TGTAAAAGGGAATCAGAGTTGCTGTGTGTCATGGGTTCTCAAGGATGCAAGGAACTGCACACAGCACCCAGCCCAGGGCCTTGGCCTCAAGACGTGTGACTGCTGCATTCCTGCTTCAAAGCTGGGCCTGCCCGACGTCAGGCACTGGGGTACATTCACAGATGTCTAACAGGCCCTGCCTGACCCCCAAACTTCCAATCCCACCATGAAGAGGGTGGCTACTCATTCACTCACTCAGCACACATCTAACAAATCAGGGGCTGTGAGCAATACAAAGACTTTGCCCAAAAGGAGCCCAGAGCCCAGTGAGGAATGAGATACCTAAGATACAATGTAAAAATCCCCAAATGTCAGCAGAGAGAAACAGACACAGAAGCCAGGAAGGTCAGGGGGCAGTGCAGAGATGGGAACTAAGCTGGCCCTTGAAAGTCAGACAGGACCTGGGCACGTGGAGACTGCTTTGGAGGAAAAAGCAGGCAGAGGCAACCGTGTGAGCAAAGGCACAGAGGCAGGGAGTTAAGGGGGCAGACAGAGGAAAGGGCGACAGCTCAAGAACAGACCCAGTAAAGAGGGCCCGGGATGCCCAGGGCTGAGTTTAACTGTACTCTGCTGTCAATGGGGAAGCCCCGAAGGTTTCAGAAATCATGACATGGCTGGGCGCAGTGGCTTATGCCTGTAATCCCAGAATTTTGGGAAGCCAAGGCAGGCAGATCATCTGACGTCGGGAGTTTAAGACCAGCCTGACCAACATGGAGAAACCCCGTCTCTCCTAAAAATACAAAATTAGCCTGGTGTGGTGGTGCATGCCTGCAATCCCAGCTATTTGGGAGGCTGAGGCAGGAGAATCACTTGAACCCAGGTGGCGGAGATTGCGGTGAGCCAAGATCGCACCATTGCACTCCAGCCTGGACAACCAGAGCAAAACTCTGCCTCAAAAAAAAAAAAAAAGAAAAAGAAAAGAAAAGAAATCATGACATGAGCCAATCAGAGCAAGGACTGAAAATGACAAAGTCAGCCAACAGCAGTGTGTCCAAGGTGCCCAGAGAGTGGCTCCATCTCTCCAAGGCCGGGCTGGGGGGTCGTATTTACCAAGCAACACCCAAGCTCTCACACTTGGCCCCTTTGTGAGAACCAAGCACATATTTTGTGATTAGCGGTCCGGGGCCTGAGTGAGGCTCCTGTCCTTGAGAAGCAGCCGGGGCCTTGACCTTCCTACTCTGGGGAGGAGGCAAGGTTACAGTCCTGATGTATTTTATTTTATTTTATTTATTTTAAGACAGAATCTCGCTCTGTAGCCCAGGCTGGAGTGCAATGGCATGATCTTGGCTCACTGCAAACTCGGCCTCTGGGGTTCAAGCAGTTCTCCTGCCTCAGCCTCCGGAGCAGCTGAAATTACAGGTGTGTGCCAACACGCCTGGCTAATTTTTGTATTTTTAGTGGAGATTGGGCTTCATTATGCTGGCCAGGCTAGTCTCTACCCCCTGACCTCAAGTGATTCTCCAACATCAGCGTCCCAAAGTGCTGGGATTACAGGTATGAGCCACCGCACCTGGCCTACGTTAATTTTTTTAACATGCCTACATTCACCTGATTCACAATCAAAAGGTACATGGGATCTCCAGCAAACAAGCAATCACCTGGCACCAGGGCCCCCTCCAGAGGCATCACAATCAGAGACTTCCTGTCTCTGCCCAGAGAACCCCTGGGCATAGACAAGCAAAGACACTTATGATTCCCTTCCCTTTTACACTGATGGTGGCTCTGAGACACACCGCCCAGACCTGCTTCTTTCCTCAGCAGCCCACCTTGGTGATCATTCCGGCACAGTGCGTGGAGCCTCCATCTTACTTTCTACGGCTATGTGGTATCGCATATTTGGACAGGCCACAATTTGTTCGTGGCTTCCTGCTAATGAATATTTAAGCTGCTTCCAATCTTTTGCTATTACAAATAAGGCAACAATGACTAACCTTGCAAATAAAGTCGTTTTGCACATGTGTTAACACATTTGTAGGATAAATTCTGAGAGGTAGAGCTGCTGTTGAAAGTGTAGAAACATCTGTAATTTTGGAAAATATTGTCAGAGAGGCACAGTACATTTAAATTTTTCATCCAAGAAATAAGCCTCAATGTTGGGGAAATATGGACAATATGTAGGTATGTGTTTGTTTTTTGAGACTAAGTCGCTCAGGCTAGAGGGCAGTGGCACGATCTTGGTTCACTGCAACCTTCACATCCCAGGTTCAAGCAATTCTCCTGGCTCAGCCTCCCAAGTAGCTGGGGTTACAGGCACGTGCTACCACACAGGGCTAATTTTTATATTTTTAGTAGAGATGGGGTTTCACCACATTGGCCGGGCTGGTCTGGAACTCCTAACCTCAAGTTATCTGCGCACCTTGGCCTCCCAAAGTACTGGGATTACAGGCGTGAGCCACTGCGACTGGACAATACATAGTTTTAAGGTGCCCAAGTGAAGAAACAGTAGAGAAAGGCTGTTTTCAACAAGTGGAGTTCTGGGTAGGGAGACAGTGCTGAACCCACACCAGCCCCAAATCACTCGGTGCTCTGGTCCACACACTTGCATTTCCCAGCTGTCAGTCAAAGGCTAGGCCCACTTGGCCCCTTGACCCTTCTCAGGGCTCTGATGTCCTGGTCCCAGGGCAGGTGGAAGTGTGAATGGTGACCTGAGCCACTATGATAAGCAGCCATAATTGGCCTCCCCAGGCGCCAGTACCAGAGGAGTAGCAGGCAGGCCAGGTGGGAGGGGGTGGGGTTCCAGAGTCCAAGAGGTCCCAGTGCTTCCAGTCTAGCCATTCCAAATGAGTGGGGAGCACCTCTTGCCACATCCCTTGCACAAGCTGCAGGGAACACCACAGCCATGCAAGACCACTCACGTTCCATAACAATCACTCGACTGGCTCTGCTCCTGGGTCCCTCACAAATGTTATGTAACTCCCGTACCCAACAGCCATTGGCACCTAAGCATCAAGCCAGGGAGTTGATGAGATGGAGGCAGGTCTCTGGAAGGCACGCTGAGTGTCAAGTGAGGACAGTTGAGTACGTGCAGAAGCAGGGCAAGGCTTTCTCCCACTTCTACAAATCTGGCCCAACTACTACAAACTGGGAATAGAAAGTCTTCTTCCCCCAGCTGAGTAGGGGATACCTCTTGGCAAACCAAAGGCAGGGTTTGCAAGAAAGAACCCTTGTCAGCCTCATCTCCCAGCCCAAGCCCTGCTCCCACTGACTGAGACAGCCAGGAACTCCAGGAAATCAAATCATACTTACATGCTCTGAGGTTACTGCTATTAAAATTCTTCTAACCAACGCATCCTGCATCTACCTTTCTTCTCCAAGCAAATATGGATTGTTTTGGAAAATCTAGATTTTCCCACATCCTATTTGTCTAAACCCCATTGACAAGCTTGTGTATAGATGCGCCTCCTCCTCCTGCAGGTGTGGCTACGACCCCACATGTTCTGGAAAGGGCTCACAAGACCTCTGCTCCTTGAGTTACCTGCCTGTCTCTTGCCTCTGTACGTGCTCAAGGTGGCCCCACTCCCTATAAAGCCCTCCTGCACTTCACCTGCCAACCTCCACTGTCCACAACGCCCCAGCACAACTGCCCTTGCTCTAGGGAGCACTGGTTCCTCAGCTCACCCACAGCCAGAGCCAACTGCTGCCTCCCAGAATCCCATGGTTTCAACCTGAAGCTTTATCCACATGCTTTCTGAGTCTAAGCAGCAATCCCAAACACTGGGCTTCCCAGTGGGGTTGCAAGCTCTCCAAGGACAAGTCTGTGTTGGGGGCAGCCACTCAGCAGAAAGGGACCAGGACTCAAAACCAGAAAACCTGGGTGCTTCCTCCCCCAGGATCTTAGGCAATTCACCCCTCTGAGCCTCAGTCTCTCCATCTATAAAATAGGTGCAATAATTTCAAGGTTTCAGGGCAGTTAAAAGGATTACATAAAACCATGTATGTGAAATTTGCAAACTCTTACACAATTCTGATGAGGATATTAATTAGCATGTTAATATTAATTAATATCCTCACATATACCCTTCACCAATATCTATCATCGTGCCTTGCAGGCACCCAAACTGACTGCTGATGGTATCCCAGAGTCACTGCTCATTCTGGATAAAAGAAAAACCACAAGCACTAGAGGTGGAGACCAGGAGGCTCTGCCAGTAGCTACAGCGGCGCCATGGGGTTGGTTATCTTCTCTCAGAGCTTTTCGGTAAATGATGACCCAGAGGGCTTTGGGGAACAGCCCTGCCAAGTAGAGTGGTGGTTCTCAGCCACCTGCCAGCATCCAGGCCCTCCCTGGATGCAGGCAGTCCACAGGGGTTGGAGCAGGAGATAAAAAGGTACCAAGCTCCACACATGTCCCTTGGAGCAGGGGGGCTGTCTGATCTGAAAATCCCTTTGAAGGTAACAGAGGTAATAACTTCCAGAGGTCTCACTATACCGCCTTTGTGAGGGAGGAGGACCATCTGGGACTCCCCGTGACCCACAGGTAAAGGGTCTATGGATCCTGGCTTCCCAGCGAGGAGGCCGGAGTTTTCAGATCACCAAACATTTCAGGTTGGGTAAGAGGCAACAGGCACACGTGCCTCCACGTTTCTCCATCTTCACAGTCATGTGACCTGCCCTACCTCCAAATCACATCCTTGGAAGCTAAAGGCATTCTAATGGAGTACTTCACCAGAGCCTGAGAGGTGGGCAGAAAGGATATGAATAGCGCCCCCTGCCTTAGAGGGAATGAAACTCAGAGAGGGCAAGTGACTTGCTCAAGGTCACAGCTGGATTTTCTGACCCAATCCAGTGTCCTATTCATCACTCCTGCAACAGTGCCATCCAGCTAAAAGGTTGAAGACCTCGTCTTTCCTGCAGAGAATTTAAAACAAAGCACTAGGGCTGTTTTAGAACTTCTCTGATTCTGCTCTATCTATAGCTACCTTTCAAATGTCATGGGTAAGTGTTTATAACCCGGTGTTAAGTAAACAATGAAATAACGCACGTTTATGCCTAGAAACAACATCTGCCCAAACTTGAACCGTGATTACTTCTTGACTTAGAATTTGGGGTAATTTTTATTCCTATCCCCAATCTTTTCTGTGTTTCAAGTTTATTGTAATTAACAAGTACTACTTCTAATATCAGAGAAGCCTATTGTTTTTCAAAGGTACAACACTGAGATCAGCATGGAAAACTTTTCACTAAATACTCACTTTGTGGGACATGACTTTGTAAAACATGGTAGAGCCGGAAGTGACGCAGGTTCGACACAAAGGCTTTCTGGGTAGGATCTTCCCCCTCTGGTTTCCACCCCAGAGGAGGAAAAGGAGGTGTCCACCAAGCTTCCTGTCTCCTGTTACAGGCCTAAGACTTCTCACACCAGCCTGCCAGACTCAAGGCTGTTTGGTGAGCACCACTGTTTCCTGGAATAAGCAATCCTGTTCTAACCATCCCTAATATATGTCAGTTTTACAAAAGAATTCTAGCTTCATCCTGAGTGGCAGTGCCATGAACCCATCCAATCATTTGTTTAGTCAAAAAACCACATCGCTACCTGCTCTGTGCATTTTGCCAGACACTGAGCCACGATTAACCTAAGACTGGAAAAGCTATCAACCAGAAGCCAGGCACCATCCTTCTACACTGTACTTGAGCATAGGGCTTCAGCCACACTAAAACAGTGGCAAACAGACACGTGAACAAATGCTACCTGGGTGTCCAGCCTAATTCCAGCTCTCAGCCACCTGTGCATTTAGATTTATCCTCCCCAGTCCTGAGGACAAGCAGTTTGGGAATGAGTGCCCATTAAGAACGCTGGTGGAGGCCAGGTGTAGTGGCTCATGCCTGTAATCCCAGCACTTTGGGAGGCCAAGGCAGGTAGATCACAAGGTCAGGAGTTAAGAGACCAGCCTGGCCAACATGGTGAAACCCCATCTCTACTAAAAATACAAAAATTTGGCCAGGCGCGGTGGCTCACGTCTATAATTCCAGCACATTGGGAGGCTGAGATGGGCAGATCACAAGGTCAGGAGTTTGAGACTAGCCTGGCCAACATGGTGAAACACCATCTCTAATAAAGATACAAAAAATTAGCCAGGCGTGGTGGTGCATGCCTGTAGTCTCAGCTACTTGGGAGGCTGAGGTGGGAGAATAGCTTGAACCTGAGAGGCAGAGCTTGCAGTGAGCCGACATCATGCCACTGCACTCCAGCCTGGGCAACAGAGCAAGACGCCATCTTGAAAAAAACAAATTAGCCAGGCATGATGGTGGCAGCTTATCCCCACTACTCGGTAGGCTGAGGCACAAGAATTACCTGGGAGGTGGAGGTTGCAGTGAGCCGAGATCCCACCACTGCATTCCATTCCAGCCTGGGTGACAGAGGGAGACCCTGTCTAAAAAAAAAAGGCCGGGCACAGTGGCTCACGCCTGTAATCCCAGCACTTTGGGAGGCCAAGGTAGGTGGATCACGAGGTCGGGAGATCAAGACCATCCTGGCTAACACGGTGAAACCCCATCTCTACTAAAAATACAAAAAATTAGCCAGGCATGGTGGTACTCACCTGTAGTCCCAGCTACTTGGGAGGCTGAGGCAGGAGAATCACTTGAACCCAGGAGGTGGGGGTTATAGTGAGCCGAGATTGCACCACTGCACTCCAGCCTAGGAGACAGAGCGAGACTCTGTCTCAAAAAAAAAAAAAAAAAAAGAATGCTGGCAGACTTACATGCAATGTTAATACCTATACCACATGCTGTTCCGCAGAGGCTGAGGCGATGGGGAAGGAATGATGAGAAAATCTACAACCTGGGTGACCCTTTGCTTCTTCTTTCCGGGGCCCCTCCCACTCTACTTCTTCCTGTTTCTGTCGGCTCTAAGGCTTAGAAGATCCACTCAGCGAACATTTATTTCAGGTCTACCAGGTGCTGGGTCTTAGTGTCAAACAACTTCGTAGACATGAACCAGACTTTTGCTTTGCACGTGCTCTTCCTTCTACCTGGAACCCACTTCTTCCACCTTAACACACAGCGACAGCTCACACATCACCTCACCAGACAAGTGCCTGCCCAGGTGACAATGGCCTAACTTTCCCTCAGAGGCCCCAGGACAATCGTAACTGCTTGTGTGTCTGATTTATCTCTCCCCAGCTGCACTCGGCTCCTGAGGACGGCTCCCCACAAACTGCCTGGCACATAGGCCTAAGATGATGCCTCCTTCTTAAATTAATGGGCCTGTAAGGTCATAATAAAAGCATGTCCTATGTATCAGGTACCGTGCTGAGCTCCATAGACACTGGTCATGCCAGCCACATGACTGCTGCACAGTTACTACTCCCATTTTGCAGATGAAAGAAAGTATATCATTTGCCCCATTCTTTTTTTTTTTTGAGACAGAGTCTTACTCTGTCGCCAGGCTGGAGTGCAGCAGTGCAATCTCAGCTCACTGCAACCTCCGCCTCCTGGGTTCAAGTGATTTTCCTGCCTCAGCCTCCCAAGTAGCTAGGATTATAGGCGTGCGCCACCATGCCGAGCTAATTTTTTGTATTTTTAGTAGAGAAAGGGTTTCACCATGTTGGCCAGGATGGTCTTGATCTCTTAACCTTGTGATCTGCCCACCTCAGCCTCCCAAAGTGCTGGGATTACAGGCTTGAGCCACCGCGCCCGGCCAGTCTTGATCTCTTAACCTTGTGATCTGCCCACCTCAGCCTCCCAAAGTGCTGAGATTACAGGCATGAGCCACCATGCCTGGCCTACCCCCCATTTTTAAACAGCAGGATTTAGAACCTGGTAAGCATCTTGCCCAAGGCCACAAGGCTAATAAGCACACAGATCTGAACCACATCCCTCAATTCTCTCTCCAGGTCACCAGGACTGCTCAGCTTATTACCTCCCTCTCTCCCTCCTCCTCCCATGCTGCTTCTAGTGACCATTTCTTTTTTTTTTTTTTTCTTTTTCCTTTCTTTTTTTTTTTTTTTGGGACTGGTGCTACTGAATTTTTTTTTTTTTTTTTTAAGATGAAATATCTCTCTGTCACCCACCAGGCTGGAGTGCAGTGGTGTGATCTTGACTCACTGCAACCTCCGCCTCCCAAGTTCAAGCGATACTCCTGCCTTACCTTCCCCAGTAGCTGGGGTTATAGGCATGTGCCACCATGCCTAGCTAATTTTTTTATTTTTAGTAGAAACGGAGTTTCACCATGTTGGCCAGGCTGGTCTCGAAATGACTTCAGGTGAACCTCTGCCTCGGCCTCCCAAAGTGCTGGGATTACAGGCATGAGCCACTGCACCCAGCCCCTAGTGACCATTTCTGACCGCTTACTGAATTCTCAGCCCCCTCTCCCAGGGCACTCAGTTCAAAAGCCTTCCTGCAACTACTCCCCTCACATTCTATACCACGTCAGCTCCCATAACCCATCCAGATGTGAACCCCTCAGCTAAGCTTCAGTAGTACTCTATGGAGACCCCAAGTGGAGCACGTCCAGCCCCACAGCCTTCTTCCCCACAGGGAGGGAGGAAGTCTTACTGATTACCCTGTAGTGCAACCAGCATGTAGCTGGACCAAATGCTGGCCAGCCCAAAGTAAGTATGTGAAGCAAGTAACTCCTCAATGAGCTCACAAATGAGACCCCGAAGTTGAATCCAACTTTTTTGGCTCCAGTTCCTGCTCTGACCCCCACTCTCCTCTGTCTGTATATAGAGCTGATGATTCAGGTGTATAGATGATGGACAGCCACCACAGCACTCAAATGCATTCCAGATATTGGCATGAGAAGCCCATGAGGACCCAGGCGACCTTAGACAACCAGGAAGAACCTCAGTCCTTAAAAAGAAGTTCCGGCTGGGCGCGGTGGCTCAAGCCTGTAATCCCAGCACTGTGGGAGGCCAAGGCGGGTGGATCACGAGGTCAAGAGATCGAGACCATCCTGGTCAACATGGTGAAACCCCGTCTCTACTAAAAATACAAAAAATTAGCTGGGCATGGTGGCGTGTGCCTGTAATCCCGGCTACTCAGGAGGCTGAGGCAGGAGAATTGCCTGAACCCGGGAGGCGGAGGTTGCGGTGAGCCGAGATCACGCCATTGCACTCCAGCCTGGGTAACAAGAGCGAAACTCCCTCTCAAAAAAAAAAAAAAAAATCCAGGGCCGGGTACAGTGGGGCTCACACCTGTAATCCCAGCACTTTGGGAGGCCAAGGTGAGTGGATCATTTGCGCCCAGGAGGCTGAGACCAGCCTGGGCAACATGGCAAAACCCTCTTTACAAAAAATACAAAAAGTAGTCAGGCGTGGTAGTGCCCACCTGTAGTCCCTGCTACTTAGGAGGCTGGGGTGGGAGGATCACTTGAGACCAGGAGTTTATGGCTGCAGTGAGCCATGACCATGTCACTGCACTCTGGCCTGGCTGACAGAGCAAGACCCTGTCTTAAAAAAAAAAAAAATCCAGCTGACCAGTCATTGTGGTTCATACCTATCATCTCAGGGATCTAGAAGGCCAAGGTGGGAGGATCTCCTGATCCCAAGAGGTAGAAGCTGCAGCAAGCTATGACGGCACCACCGTACTCCAACCTGGGCAACAGAGCGAGGCTCCAACTCAAAAAACAAAAAAAGTTCCAGGTCAAAAAAGCCAGTTCCCAGCAGGCAAGAGGCCAGCAGCGGAGCAGACACCATTACAACGGTGGGCTCCAGAGCGTGCCCTGGGTCACACAGGGTCTTCAAGACCAGAAGCTGCTAGAAGATGACAAGAGAAAGGCAGTGGGTTCTAAAAAAGATGCCAAGGACTGAGGGAAAGCCAACAAGATGGAGGCCGGGTCTTCCAGGAGTTCTCTGCAGGAATGAAGGACGATGACAAGGGAGGGTAGTACTGCCCTGTTACACGTGGCTCAGCATGTCATATCCTTTCAGGAACTTTCAAGGCCTCTCTGTTGACTACATTAGGCTCAAGTTCACACTCCTTGGCGGGGCCTCCAAAGGTCCCCAGGATGCAGACCCAACACAGCCACAGGCAGTTCGAGCCTCCAGCTCTGAGAGGTGAGGCAGTTCAGATCTCCACATCTGCCTGGAGTTCCCTCTACCTGGGATGCCCTCCTTCTCCTTCACAGGAGGGGGCTGAGCATCCCTCGTCCTTCAGGGCCAAGACGACTTCCAGCACCCCAGGGTTACAGGGCAGGAGCATGGGCTCTGAGGTCAGACCTACTCCTTCAAAACTCAGCTGTTCCACCCTCTGCTGCCTCCCCCACAAAATGCAGAAAGTGACAGCCCGCACCTCACTGGGTGGTGGGAAAATGAAATACAGTAATTCATGAAAGCGCTTTGAACTGTGCCTGGCACACGGTAAGTGCTCAATAAACGGACTGTTGTTCCTATTGTCCTCTGGGCCCCTTTAGGGCCTCTGTTTTGACCACAAGTAGGGCACTGTCTTACACATATTTGTTACACATTGGGCTCCCTCTGCCAATCACCTTTTAGAGGGCTGCCCTCAGCACAGCGCAAGGTAGCAGTTGGTCTGTGGTGAGTGTTGACTTCCCGGAGCTGCAGGGCCTAGGAAGACCCCACACACACAGCTCTCCCAGGGCCCAGCTGTTGGCCTCCCAGAACTCCCACACCAAATCCCCAGTCTAAAGGCCCGTTTTCAAAACAATAAAAGGCTATACCCTGCCTTGCCAGAGCTGTTTCCACTCCAGGGAATTTACAGAGAGAAATGAGCACAGCAGGGACTGGAAATAGCAGTGAGCCCTTCTCTAGGCGAGGGACTGGGTAGGCCGGCCAGAGACCAGGAGCAAAACCTCTAAGACAGAGAAGGAGAAAACAGCCTCTGGAGAGAACCCCCAGCTCACAGAACTCGGCCAACGGGAATGAACTAGGACAAGCGGTTCACTCACCCTTCTGCCCCAAAGCTCTTCTTTCCACTCAGTTGGAGAAATTCAGAAGGGGCTTCTTGTATAACCTGCCGCCACAGTGGGTGCAACAAATAAGACATCCAGAATCCCAAGGACTGCACAAAGGCTTTTGGGGGAATTCACAGTGCCTTCTCCACTCACATTAGTGGTCGGAGCCTCGTATCCAGATTGGGGTCACTAAATCAGTGTCCATCTTCCCAGCAGACTAGGAGCCCCTCGAAGGCAGGGACCAGGTCCCAATAATCATCAGACCACTATGCCCCTAGCATACTGCCCGGCACACAGTAAGATGCTCAGTAAGTCACAAGACAATATCTGGCAGCAAGAGAGAGGTCCTGGTTCAAGGATGATTCTATCCAGGCTTGCCATGTATTGTGATAAGAGTGTCATGAATTCCCTCTGGGCCTCAGTTTACCACATCCACAAAAAAGGACAACCACCAATCTTAACTCACACAGCTGCTGTGCAAATTACACAGGAAAATGTATATGGAAAGCACAAAAGCCTCAGATGAACGAGGCTTCAGCTCAACCGTCCCCTTGTGCTGGAGTCTTTCCTGCAGTTCGATCTCCCTCCCCTGTCAATGAACCTGCCTCTGTACTCCTTCTACTGCTTTGTTTGGTATTTTTCACATCACTGCGATCACCTGTTTCCAAGTCTGATTCCCCCACGCTTGAGAGCTCCCTGATGGCTTGGGCATCATATGTTTGTGTTCAGGTGGGCACACATGCCTGGCTGCTGGGGCTCTCCCACCCCACTGTTCCAAGTACCAACTCTGATATGCACAGGACCCTGGACAAGGTTCAGAGGTGCAGAGCCCAGGCAGCTTATCAAGGAAGCTGAATAGGGAGATGGAAAGTGGAAAGGGACACTGTAGGCATAACCTGTCAATGAAGTCACACCTCTGAGACCTACGCTGCCTCTGCAGGTGCAGGTGAGCTTGTTTGCTTGGCTGACTCTGCAGCACACGGCCTCCAGGGCACAGATTGCTGCTTCTTTTCTTACAAAAGCACCAGCAGTCAGATAAATAATATATGGCCTTCACCTCATCACAGGTATCAGGCGTGCAAACACCTGCTTTGCCCCAGAATGCCCTGCAAGGGAGGGAGGAGTGAAACGCCTGGCCTTATACAACACCCCCAGAGGGGATATGTATTGGAAATCCATGCCCAACCCCCAGTCTTGCCTTGGCCTGGAGCCATCTAGCACTGGAGGCAAGTGGATCCAAGAGAGGTACCAAGGGTGTGCCCGGGGAGGAAATGTACATCCACAGGAAGGATACAGACACCCAAAACCAGTCTCCACGGTCCCTTTGGAGGCAAACATCCTTCGAGCCCCAGGTCCCAGTCGATCCCCTTCCGAACCTTCGGACCTGCGGGCAGGGCGTGCACACCCTCCACTCACGACGCAGCGCCAAAGAACCCCGCCGACCACCCTCCCAGGTCACTGCCACCCGCACAGGGCACGGACGCCTCCCCCACTCACTCGGCCGTGCCAGGCGCCAGCACACCCACCCGGGAGCACACAATCCCTCTTGCAAAGCGCCTGTCCATCCGCCTCCCTCTCCCGGGGCCACCCCCGGCAGGTCCGATTACACTCCAGGCGCTGCCCCCGCCACGCTGGCGTGAAGGGGGAGCGGGCACACCCACGGGCGACCCCGCAGGGCGGAGAGGAGGCACGGGGTGGCACGGGGGGAGGTCGACGGGTGTTCCCTCCCTCCGCGGCCGCGCCGGCCTCCTCCGTGCCCTCCCCTCCCGGGCGCCGGCGGCCGAAGCCGGGCGTACCTCGCGCGGGCCTCTCCGAAACGAGCAGCCCCCGGCGCCCGGGAGTCGCAGCTCCCCCTCGGGGCTCCCGCGCAAGGCCGGCCGGGCGGGATACCTCAGGAGCCCATGGCGGTGGCGGCGTGTGTGGAGGACACGCGGCGGCCGGCCTCTGCGGGCGGGGCGGGCGGGCAGCGCCGCAGCCCCGGAGTCTCCGCCGCCGCCGGCGCGTCCCGGGCCCAGTGGAGTGCCGCCGCGACGCGCCTGCGCACTGTGCTCGCCGCCGGGGAGGGCGGGGCGGCGGACGCGGCTGAGATCACCGACTGGGCCTTAAAGGGGCCGCGCCCCGAATCTCAGCCGGTTGCCCCGCGGGTCGGGGCGCGACCCGGGTTCTTCGGCCACTCACAAACCCAGCTACGACCGGTCCTCCAACCCCACCCATCACAGAGCTTTCTGGGCTGCGATCTCTGGCCCTGACCCTCGCTGGTGCTTCACTTCTCCTGACCCTAATTTCCTCCATTTGAGCCTGTTTTGAAGATGAAACGAAATACAATGGCCATTTGTTGAGTGCAGGATGCGTGTGGAATTGTGGAATGAACGTGGACCGAGTGTTGTGTGCAATTAGGCCAGATGAAATTGCAAAGCACTGAAAGAGGCTTTTTCTTCCCACTCCACTTAGCAGCGATTCTTTTTTGCCCCATCTGGCTCTAGGCTGCCGAACTAGCAAAAGTCTTCAGATATGGTTCAAGCCGCCTAGCCCATTTCTGTTTGCCAGGTCCAGACATTACCTAGGTTAACTGAACAAGATAAAATGTAATCAAGTTCTGGCATTGATGTGCTCAAGATCCCCAAATGTGTTTATGTCTCCAGACTCCTCCCCTGAGCTATCTCCTCAACACCTCTTTCTCGGAGGTCCAGCAGGCATCTCAAAGTCAACGTGTCTGCAGCTGAGCCAACCCCACTTCCACACACACAATCCTCTTCCCTCTCAGCCTTGTCTCCATCAGCTGTTGACAATTCCATCCTTCCAGTCCCCAGGCCAGAACTTGGAGTCATCTGTGAATGCCCCCCTTCTGCCCCCTACCCAACAAGGCAGCCAGGAGATCCTGTTGGCTCTACATGCAAACTGGTTCTAGACACTGACATCTGCCACTCCACCTCCACTGCTGCCACCCTGGTCCAGCATCTGCACCTGATTATTGCAAAGTTCTGCTAACCCATCTCCCTGTTCCAACCTTGCCTTCTGACCCACCCTATCAATTTAAGGGTGAGGGAGATTCTTTTAAAATCAGCCAGGCACAGTGGCTCATCCCTGTAATCCCAGCACTTCATGAGGTTGGGTGGATCATTTAAGGCCAGGAGTTCGAAACCAGTCTGGCCACATGGTGAAACCTCGTCTCTGCTATAAATGCAAAAATTAGCTGGGTGTGGTGGTACATGCCTGTAGTCCCAACTACTCGGGAGACTGAGGCATGAGAGTCGCCTGAACCCAGGAGGTGGAGGTTGCAGTGAGCCAAGATCGTGCCACTGCATTCCAGCCTGGGTGACAAAATGAGACTCTGTCTCAAAAAATAAGTCAAAACATGGCACTTTTTTGCTCAAAACCCTCCACTGGCTTGCCATTTCCCTCTAAGTAAAGGCCTATGTCCTTACAAGTCCTTGCAAAGACTTGATCTGACATTCTACTTGCTCAGGTATTCCTGACCTCATTCATCTCTTACCCTTTCCCTCCACACTGACCCCTTGCTGTTCCTAGGACAAGCTGAACACACTCAGCCCTGGAGCCCCCTGCACTAGCTGTTCCCTCTGCTGCAATCACTGTTTCCCCAGATATCTGAATGGTCACTCCCTCACCTTCTTCAAGGGTTTGCTCAAATGTCTTCCACCTGGCCGGGCGCAATGGCTCTCTAATCCCAGCACTTTGGGAGGCCGGGAGAATCAGGAGGTAAGGAGTTTGAGACCAGCCTGGCCAATATGGTAAAACCCCGTCTCTACTAAAAATACAAAAAAATTAACTGGGCGTACTGGTGGGAGCCTGTAATCCCAGCTACTCCGAGGCTGAGGCAGGAGAATTGCTTGAACCTGGGAGGCAGAGGTTGCAGTGAGCCAAGATGGTGCCACTGCCATCCAGATTGGGCGACAGAGTGAGACTCGATCTCAAAAAACACACAAATGTCCTCCACTCGGTAAGGCCTGCCATGAGCACCCTAGTAAATTACCAAACCGCTCACATGCACTCTGTATTTCCCCTTTACCTTGCCGTACTTTCCCTGTCACTTAGTTTCTATCATATTATATACTTTGACTATTTCACTGTTTGTCTTCTTCTAGTAGAACATAAAATTTGGGCTTTTTTGTTTTGTTTTGTTTTTGAGACAGAGTCTCACTCTGTCACACAGGCTGGAGTGCAGTGGCACTATCTCAGCTCACTGCAACCTCCACCTCACCAGGCTGGGCAACATAGGAAAATGAAGATAAACACCTATCTCGAACTCCTGGGCTCAAAGCGATCACCTGTCTCGACGGCTCAAAGTGCTGAGATTACAGGTGTAAGCCACCGCGCCTGGCCAATAAATTCTGAGGACAAAGATTTCCATCCTTTGGGTGTTTGTCGGTGTTTGAGATAGGGTCTCACTGTGTTGCCCAGGCTAGAACGCAGTGGTGCAATTTTGGCTCACTGCAGCCTTAACCTCCCAGGTTCAAGCGATTCTCCGGCCTATGCCTCCCAAATATCCTTTTTGTTTTCTGGTGCAGTCCCAGTACTTAGCACAGGGTCTGGCATAGGGAACAGGCCCCAAAAAAGTAGGTACAGGCCGGGCGCGGTGGCTCAAGCCTGTAATCCCAGCACTTTGGGAGGCCGAGGCGGGTGGATCACGAGGTCAAGAGATGGAGACCATCCTGGTCAATATGGTGAAACCCCGTCTCTACTAAAAATACAAAAAAAATTGGCTGGGCATGGTGGCGCGTGCCTGTAATCCCAGCTACCCAGGAGGCTGAGGCAGGAGAATTGCCTGAACCCAGGAGACGGAGGTTGCGGTGAGCCGAGATCGCGCCATTGCACTCCAGCCTGGGTAACAAGAGCGAAAACTCCGTCTCAAAAAAAAAAAAAAAAAAAAAAAAAGTAGGTACAACATGACCAGAGATTCCGTGATAGCAAAATCCTATAGAACAATTCCTCCCCAGCCCCAGGTAGGACATGCCTCGGGCTGTCCTAACAAGAGCAAGCCTTGTCAATTGCACTGTAATTACTTGTTTATGACTTCCCAGCTCTCCCTCCCTAACACTAACCCCTTCAGAACAAGTCCTTGTCCCAATTACCCACCATATCTGCATTGTATAGTATAGAGCACTTTACAGACCAGACACAATCTGACTTACACTTCCTCTCCAGGGTTTTCAATTCAGGGCCCTGGCTGGTTTCTGCTTCTTAAGGGCACTCCTGGGTCTCTACTTACAGAGGCCTCAGGCAGATGGTGGGTATTTTTAGGCTTGGTTGCCAGAAAGGGGCTCAAAGACAGAAAGTCAACTGGTCTGAGTGACATGGCAGGTCAGCAGGTGGTATTGGGGGCCCTGGTTGGTGCTCCCGGTGGGAGGGAAAAAGTCCTCTCAAGACCTTTACTCAGGCTTTCCAAAATGAAGATAAACACCTATCTTGCTGTCTTCCTTCCCACCCTTCCTCCATGCAACTACTCATCCTTTCTTGTTTTTTAGAGATGAAGTCTCACTCTGTCGCCCAGGCTAGAGTGCAGTGGCGCAATCTCGGCTCACTGCAACCTCTGCCTCCCGGGTTCAAGCAACTGTCCTGCCTCAGCCTCCCAAGTAACTGAGGCTACAGGCACACCCCACCATGCCTGCTCCCGGCTCTTTCTTTCTTTAAGAGACAGGGTTTGGCCTGGCTCAGTGGCTCATACCTGTAATCCCAGCACTTTGGGAGGCTGAGGAAGGCATTCGCCTGAGGTCAGGAGTTCAAGACAAGCCTGGGCAACCTGGTGAAACCCCATCTCTACAAAAAATACAAACATATATACACATATGTGTTTGCTAAGTGTGGTGGCGCATACCTGTAATCCCAGCTACTCAGGAGGCTGAGGCAGGAGAATCCGGGAGGCGGAGGTTGCAGTGAGCCCAGATTGCGCCACTGCACTCCAGCCTGGGCAACAGAGCGAGACTTCATTTCAAAAAAAAAAAGAAAGAAAGAAAGAAAGGGGAATTTATGGGCTCACTTAAGTTCAAAGCAGAGCTGGATTTGAGGCCTCACACAGTGTCATTGGGATGCTATTTCTCTCCATCTCTTGCTCTGTGTGTGTGTGTGTGTGTGTGTGTGTGTGTGTGTGTGTTGGCCCCATTCCCAGGTGGCCTTTTCCCTCCAGTGGCAGAGAGAGAACCTCTTTCCCAAGAATTCCAAGTATGTCCCACAGTCACCTCTGATTGTCCCAGCTTGAGTCAGGGTCCCATCTCTGAGCCAATCATTGTAGCCAGGAACTGCAGGGCAGCACTGGCCAGGCCTGGATCACACAGCCTCACCCTGCAACCAGTGGGTGGAGTCAGCCCCCTCACAACCAAATGTACTGAAAAGGAGGGGTGAGTCCCTAAAGAAAAATGGGGTTCCATGACTAGAAAAACTGGGAAAGAGTGCTAGGGGAAAAAACAAACCTCAGATGTTCCACGTCCCCAGAGCCACCTTAAGTGGCTCTCCACGGGTCATCCAGAAGAAAAATCAGGGATAGGGCTGAGTTGTGACCTCACCCAGAACAGAGATGGAGGGACCTAGGACAGAGCTATCAGCATAGGGTGGCTCTTTGGAGGCCTTTAGCCTGTGCAGTGGTCAACTGCCTGGTCAAGCCCCAGTTCTACCACTGACAGGCTGTGAGATTCTGGGCAAGTCTTGTAAGCCTCGATAAGCCCCAGTTTCTTCATCTATAAAATGGGGATATGAACAGGACCATCCTGCCAGAGCTGTTGTGGGGATCAAACAAAATAATACAAGGCAGGCTGGTAGCACAGGGCCTGGCACATCCTAAACACTCAGTCAGTTTCCTCTCATACCTAAATAATCGGCAGAGTAAGAAGGTCCTTTTTCAAATGGCTGTTTGTTTTGTATTTACTTATTTATTTAATTGTTTTGAGATGGAGTCTCACTCTGTTGCCCAGGCTGGAGTGCAATGGTCACTACAATCTCCACCTCCTGTGTTCTAGCAATTCTCCTGCCTCAGCCTCCTGAGTAGCTGGGATTACAGGCACCCACCACGATGCCCAGCTAATTTTTGTATTTTTCCTTTTTTTTTTTTTTTTTTTTTTTTGAGACTGAGTCTTGCTCTGTTGTCCAGGCTAGAATGCAGTGGCATGATCTCAGCTCACTGCAACCTCTGCCTCGCAGATTCAAGCTACTCTGTCTCAGCCTCCCCAAGTAGCTGGGATTACAGGCACATACCACCATACTCACCTAATTTTTTTTTCTTTTTTTAGACAGTCTCGCTCTGTCACCTAGGCTGGAGTGCAGTGGTGTGATCTCGGATCACTACAACCTCTGCCTCCTGTGTTCCAGCAATTCTCCTGCCTCAGCCTCCCAAGTAGCTGGAACTACAGGCACCCGCCACCACACCTGACTAATTTTTGTATTTTTAGAAGAGATCCAGTTTCACCATATTGGCCAGGCTGGTCTTGAACTCCTGACCTTGTGATTCACCCACCTTGGCCTCCCAAAGTGTTGGTATTACAGGCATGAGCCACTGCGCCCAGCCTAATTTTTGTATTTTTAGTAGATGGGGTTTCAGCATGTTGGCCAGGCTGGTCTCAAACTCTTGACCTCATAATTTGCCCAAACCTCAGCCTCCCAAAATGCTGGGATTACAGGTTTGAGCCAACTCGCCCAGCCGAAATTGCTGTTTAGAAGTGAAAATGTAAACATCTCTATAAGCCAGTTGTGTTGTTGTTGTTGATTTTGGGGGCAAAATCTCTCTCTCTCTCTCTCTCTCTCTCTCTCTCTCTCTCTCTCTCTCGCCCAGGCTGGAGTTCAGTGGCAACATCATGGCTCACTAAAACCTTGAACTCTTGGACTCAAATAATCCTCCTGCCTTGACCTCCTAAGTAGCTGAGACTACAGGTACACACCACCAGGCCCAACTAATTTTTTTCTTTTCTTTTGTAGAAACAGGGTCTTGCTCTGTTGACTAGGCTGGTTTCAAACTCCTGGCCTCAAGTGATCCTCCTGCTTTGGCCTCTCAAAGTGCTAAGATTAGAGGCATGTGCCACTGTACCTGGCCTGGCCAGTGGGGCGTTTTTTTTTTTTTTTTTTTTTTTTTTAAACGGAGTCTCCATTGCCAGGCTGGCGTGCAGTGGAGCGATCTCAACTCACTGCAACTTCTGCCTCCCGGGTTCAAGCGATTCTCCTGCCTCAGCCACCTGAGTAGCTGGGATTACACGCACCTGCAACCATGCTCGGCTAATTTTTGTATTTTTAGTAGAGACGGGGTTTCATCATGTTGGCCAGGGTGGTCTCGATCTTTTGACCTCATGATCTGTCCGCCTTGGCCTCCCAAAGTGCTGAGATTACAGGCGTGAGCCACCATACCTAGCCAGTGCGCCACTTTTCAAGCAAATCTGCCCCTCACACTGTCACCAATGATTCTATTTCCAGCAGCCAGGTTGTGTCTAGTATCACAGCTTGGATGCTACTGTCCTCATCACCTAAAACACACACGTTCTCACTGCCGTCTCTATCCTATTCCTTTTCCTAGCTACTTCCTATCCCTCCTTTTATCAGGTCCCTAATAAAATTTTAATTACCCCTGCCATTAAGTAGGGAAAAAATATGACATACAGAATAATACATATTGGATACCTCATTAATGCAATTTTTTTTAAAGATGGAGTCTCACTGTTGCCCAGGCTGGAGTGCCGTGGTGTAATCTCAGCTCACTGTAACCTCTGCCTCTCAGGTTCAAGCGATTCTCACACTTCAGGCTCCCAGGTAGCTGGGATTACAGGTGCCCACCACCATGCCTGGTTAATTTGCTTTTTTTTTTTTTTTTTTTTTTTTTTAGTAAAGACAGTTTTGCCATGTTGGCCAAGCTGGTCTCGAACTCCTGACTTCAAGTGATCTGCCTGCCCCAGCCTCCCAAAGTGCTGGGATTACAGGTGTGAGCCACCACGCCCATCCATTAATGCAAATATTTGTGTGTGATTTTATTTTATTATGTATGTATGTATGTATGTATGTATGTATTTATTTATTTATTGAGACAGCGTTTCACTCTTGTTGCCCAGGCTGGAGGGCAATGGTGCAATCTCAGCACCACAACCTCTGCCTCCTGGGTTCAAGCGATTCTCCTGCTTCAGCCTCCCAAGTAGCTGGGATTACAGGAATGCGCCACCACGCCTGGATAATTTGTATTTTTAGTAGAGATGGGGTTTCTCCATTTTGGTTAGGTTGGTCTTGAACTCCCCACCTCAGGTGATCTGCCCACCTTGGCCTTCCAAAGTGCTGGGATTACAGGCATGAGCCATGGCACCTGGCCTTGAACTTGGTTTTTGTTTTGTTTTTTGAGATGGAGTCTCACTCTGTCACCCAGGCTGGAGAGCAATGGCGCAATTTTGGCTCACTGCAATCTTCACCTCCTGGGTTCAAGCGATTCTTTTGCCTCAGCCTCCCAGTAGCTGGGACTACAGGCGTGTGCCACCATGCCCGGCTAATTTTTGTATTTTTAGGGTTTCACTATGTTGGCCAGGCTGGTCTCAAACTCCTGACCTCATGATCTGCCTGCCTCAGCCTCCCAAAGTGCTGGGATTACAGGTGTGAGCCACTGTGCCTGGCCATGTCCTGCGTTTCCTTAGGAAAGCTGCA